GTTAAGATGACCTGACTTTTATGCATAGAAGACAGAAGAGATGCGAGGACCTGTGAGGTGACATGGCCTGTGCAAGGCTCATCCATGTTTGCTTTCAGTGAGCCTGAGTCAAAGGCTTCCTTTCCACTTACATCATGAGACATCAGAAAGGCTCGTTCTTACTCTTCCTGCTAATTGCATGCTTATAGCAATGCGTCTGAGAGGCCAAGAGTTTCTTTTGTAGGCATGCTCCCTCTGGGCAGTGCCTTGCACTGCAGGGCACAAAACCGTCAGGGTCCCATTTAATGGCACTGAAACTCCACTCAGCCACAATGAACAACTTCAATTCAATGAACTCTATGCTCTCACAGGAAACAACCCTCCACCTTTCAGCTCTTGTCTTCCACTCCCCCGGAGTATTAGATAATTCCTACCCACACCTAACACAGTTACACTGATGAGCATTAGGTAGCGTGGGACTGACAGACAACCCGGTTCAATGCTCATCTCATGGGAAGAATTCCAGACAGAGGGCCAGTGCAGAGGGGAGTGGGGGAGTGGAAGCACCAAGGATGTAATCCTGGCCCCGCGCTGTCTCTCTGTACTCTACCTGAGCCTGACCTGCCTAACCATTCCATCTTCGGTCTTGGGCATTGGGCTCTGGTGCCTGGAAAACAACAAATTCCAACCTGGCTGAGTCCATGCTCATTACAGAGAATGTGAGGCACATTCTGAGGCACCGGCAGGCCGGGTGAGCCTCCTCCCTGCATTCAAATTAGCTTAACCCCACTCGCAGTTGTAAGCAAATGACATGACCACCTATGACCTGGGACAGTAATCATACCCTGAAAAGATGAACTAATTAGTAATTACAATAATGAGAGGGCAGTCAGAATAATACCCATGTTTATTTAGGCTCTGTCCCTTGAGGACTACGGGGCAAGTCGTTGATGTCACCTCATGAACCCTCCCTGCACTCTCATGAGGGAGAAAAGGGCAGAGGCTAATGACAAAAAAGCTGATGTGGAGGAAGGTTAATCAAGGAAGGCTGACTGTTGAAGGGGAAGCTCTGAGAAATGTGATGATTTGGGTTCCACAGATGGGCGGGCATCCCCAGGAAGGAAAATCCCACCCAGCCCTTTTTCTCCTGGGCGTTTGCTCAGCCACGAAGCTGCTCTGGGTTTCCACATTACTGTGATATTCTTTCTCGTCATGATGTCTGTTCTTTTGTGGGTACTCTAGCCTCTGGTTTCCCAAAGTGTGTCCTGATGTATATTAATCAGTATTATTTTTAAAAGGATTACATTTTCATAACACAGGGTCAATCGCGATCAAACAGATTTCTTTAACGTTAGGACTTTGATACGCTAATTGCATAGGGAATGTCCCAGAGTACACATTAGGTTGAACCACTTGAGATAATCATTTTTGTACGTCAAAATCAACTGAACGTTGGCAATTTCATGTGGTCAATTGTAATACTGTTCAGCCCTTGTAACATTGCTTGACTACTAAAAAACTCGGCTAAAACTCACTTTGGGAAGCACTGTCTTAGGTACTTAAATACTGACTGTTAGGTGCTTGACTCATGCATGTTGCTTGGACCCCATGATGCTCGGATGTGACTGGATAATGGTCTGAGCAGATGGTGGGAGGCGCGTCAATGAAGGGATCCTGCTAGGCTGTGAGGCTGAGATTCTAGGAAGGGCGGCCCAACGTGGCATTTCCCCACCCAGGAAAAGTGTAGAAATGCATGTTACTGTGCAGTGTCGTCACAACTGTTGCAGTATTGAGGTACGAGGATTTTTTTTAGCTATAACATGGCTTTAAAATATTTAGTTTAAGTACACTTAAGTTCATTGCAAGAAGCAGAATAGGAAAAGATACACACTCTATTAATAACTATGTGAAAACTATTTGCAGTTGGGTTTGAAGCGGGCAAAAACAAAACAGAAAATAGTCATTTACAATCATAGAATCATGGATGATTTTTTGTTTTCTCTTTTCAAAGTTTCTTTAAATGTTATTATATTGCTTCACAGAAATATATAATATATAATATATAATATTATAATATATTATATATGATAAATATAATATAATATATAATAATATAATATATATTATATACACACACACATATAACATCAGATATATATATATATATATATCAGTTGCTCCTTAAGCTTTGAGTTCATACCAGAATACCCTTTGGGAAAATCCCAGTGTCCCCCTCCCCATTCTTTCTGGGTGGGAGAGTATGTCAAGGAGAAGATGACCTTCCCACCAGGAATTTGGTAAATTATGTTCCCCTGGCCACCTCACTGAGCTGGGTGGAGTCAACTACCTAAAGATGGGTAAAGCATTGCCCCTTGAATGGTCCCTCTGCCTCCCATCTAGACGAAGGACCTGCCCACCCACATAGGTCCCCAAATCTACAGGTATCCCCAGCACCCATGGCTACTTTCTAAAGTCTGCATTTAAGTTGGTTATGTGATGTTTACAGCAGGCTCCTGTAGCAACACTATTTATAAACACTAACTAATTTGTCAGCAAGGCCTCAAAAACCTGTTCAATCCTAATGTTTCAGGAATACTGTACATGCATAATGGGAATGGAAAGTAGAAAATATTGCTATCATAAGCACACAATTATGGCTAGAGTATATAGACTTTTGTGGGCTAACTTAGGAATCTAGCTCTTATTTATAGAGCTGTGTCCACGGCAAGATGTCTTCCTATCTTGCTAAGCCCCTCAGCAGCCTGCTGGTAGAGGGTGAGGTTGTCTGAGCCAGGGAATTCCTCCGTCTGGGTCTTCAGGCAGCGCTTGGCCTACAGGAGAGACTCCCTGGCAGCAGCTTTGTCGACCAGACCTGCACGATGACTGAGAAGCGCTGCTCTGCCCTGGGCTTCGGGGGGAATCTCTCCATGGAAGGAACATCCTGGAGTCCTGCTTCCTCTTCCCCTGTCCCACTCCCACATCAACCTTGTTCCGCGACTCTGGGCCAGCGGTGATCTGCAAGCCTGTCCTCGACATCCATTGCGTACCGTCCTGAAGGAGCTGGCATGAGTAAGTAGCAAGGCGCAGAGCCCCTCTCCAGGGAAGCGCCCACAGAGCAGGGCCCAAGACAAGGTGACCACAGCAGGGGCTTGGAACACGACTGGCTTTGGCTGAATGGCCATGACCCTGTATTAAGGTCTTTAGACACAGACTCCCTGACCCAAGGCCACCAGAAGGACACTATGACTTTCCCGTCAACTCTAGCTTCTTTCTTAGCTGCAAAGAGAATCAGCAAGACTTGGTGTCTCTTCACAAAAGGGAAGGCAGAAGGAAGAGGACAGAGGACGGAGGTGGTTTTCCTGGACAGGGAGCGCTGAAACTAAGGGTCAGCTTCCTGACTGGAGAAATTCCTTGTGTGACTGCCCTGCACAGGGCTTCCAGAGGACCTATCCGGAAACCTTTCTCCAGGCTTAGGGCTCCTCTGGGGTCTAGAAGAGGATTCCTCCCCCACAGCACTTGTTATACAACGACTTACAGGACTGTAACCCGACCCCAAAGCTTATGCCAGCCCCTTTAAAGGATAATTGTCCCTATGCTATGATATTCTGTTCCTGGACCCGGTGGCTTTCTGGCAAACGGTAGAGCCAATCATCAATTATAGGAAGCGAGTGAAAGGATGCGTCCTCATACCAGAGGCAAATCCTCTGGAAGCAGACCCCGGTGGTTTTGGGTTGTGTGGGCAGTAGAACAGGGAGGCGGCTAACAGGGGACCAGGACCAGGCGTAGAGGAGCAGAGGTCAGCTCCAGGAGACCCAGCCAGTGTCAGAGGGAGGGCCAGGGGAAGGAATCGGGCGAGTGTGGTGTCATGGAAACCAAGAGAAGAATGTGCTTCAAGAAGGAGGGACATTTATGGCGGATGCTGTTGTGAAGATAAGAACAGCGAAGTCAAAGTTAGATGTGACATTGACAGGAGCAATATCTCGGGATGGTGGGGACAAAATCCAACTAGAGTAAGTTGAGGAGAGAATCATAGCAGAAGAGTATACGGTTTAAAGAAAGTGTCTGCTAAGTGCTTCATATGTACTAACTCACAGAATTCTTACACTCTTTATGGTGTAAATTGTAGTATCATCCTTGTTTTACTTATGGAGAACCCAGGCACAGAGAGGATTGATAACCTGCCCAAGGCCACCGGGCTGGGAAGTGGCAGAGCTGGCATTGCCTGGCTCAGGTCTGTGCTGGGAGCCCCACTCCCTCCCTTCCACTGCGCCCTGTAAGATCAGTAAACGCAGGCAGCTCTTTCAGCAAGTTTGCTGAGAAGGGAAAAGAGAGATGGGACGGTTCCTGGAGAGGCTGTGGGGCTGAGACGGTTTTGCTTTGAGGACAGAAAACGCTGACGTAAGGGTTGCTGACGGGTCATGGAGGAGCAGGGGAACATTGATGATGCTGGCGCAGGAGGAGGTGACGTGGGATGGGTCCAGGGTGCAGAGGGGTCGCCCTTTGATAGCCGCTGGGCTTGTCCTCTGGTACAAGGGGGGCAGAGAAAAAGGGATCAGAGGAGGGTAGCAGGTAGTTTGGGAAATGAAAAGATGAAGGAACGTCTGTCTCCCGCCTCCTTTCTCAGTGAAGGATAAAGCAAGATAATCGTCTGAGACTGGGGGGGGGGGAAGGGGGGCCTGTGAGAGGATTGAAGAGAACAGAGGTGTGAAATGGCCGTTTTGGGTGGGGGGGTGTGGAAGAGAAAACAGGAGCGGCCCATAGGGAGCTAGAAGAGGCAATTCAACGCCTCTCAATTTTATGGATGTTCTCTCAGTTTCTGAAATCTTTCATGGTTTTCAGTCTATGAAATCTTTCATTCTAAAGCGCAGAAAAAAAAGGGGGGAGTAGCACCTGCCCTTTCTCTCATTACTGCTGTGCTGGGAGCAGTAGGAAGACATTTGGAAGTGACGGGCTAGTAAATCCGAGCCATTCCAGGCAGATGGTCTGGGGTCGTGGAAAGCTAATAGAAAGAGAAATCGCACCTGCAGGAGCGCCATGGTTTTCCCCCTTTGTTCTCATCAAGGCCCATCTGTTCCCTCTTTAGAACATTTCTTAGGAAGAAATGTGGAATGATAAACAGGGGACCGCACTTTGAGTTTTGAGTCAGCGTCGCCACCTCCGTCAGCCAAGGATTTTTCCCCTTGCACAGAACAAGGTAGCTTATGTCCACTGAGATCCCAGAATTTACACACAGGTCCCTCAAACCCAGCTGCTCCTGTCGAATTACTCTCTCCCTCCCTCCAAGTCACCTCCTCATTCTATGAAGAGGATGGGACGGAATCTCTGAGTGAGAGTAACTAACACATAAAGAGCTACCTGTGCAAGGTGTTGCTCTGAACTCCCCACCTGTACGAACTCATTTAGTCTTCACAACTCTACGAGGTAGATGCTATTGCTAACTCAATTTACTGAGGAAGAAATGAAGACACAGCAGGTTGAGTCACTTACTTGTGGTCAGCCACCTAGGAAGTGGTGAGCTGGAATATGAATACAGATCAGACTGACTCCAGGATCCACATTCATTTCACTCCCTTGTATGTCAGAGGTACACATGGATGGAGCTTTGGTCTCTCAGACTTAGGGATCCTTGATATGTGCGTAAATCGTGGCCAGCTGGCGTCCAACACAGCTTTTAGCTAGGGTCACTGGGCAATATAGGCTCATTGAAAGTGCTCTGTTCTGTCCATTTCTTTTAAAACTATATGACCTTTGGGCAAGTTTTCCAGTTTATTTTTATTGTCACAGCGATAAGATGAAAGGGTGTACTGACTCTCTGAATTTTCAAGCTCTGGAAGTATATTATTCTCACTGAGTTTCAGTCACGTCTTACTCCTGCATTCCCTCATGGGGAATAGCTACCTGAAACAACAGATGGGGGTGGATAAATCGGGGGCTCCAGCCTGCTCTGAGGACAGCCCCCCCCCATCCCACACTTCCTCTTCCTCTTCTGCCCTGGAGTCACTGGCCCCTGAGGAAGTGCGTTTTGCCAGTGATGAGATGGGTCCTGTCTTAGGTGGCAGGAGATGGAGCAGAGATGATCAGAAAGGCAGTTTTCTATTAAGTCGGTGCAAACGTAATTGCGGTTTTTGTCTTTACAAACAACGGTTAAAAACGCAATTACTTTTGCACCAACCTAATACAATAATAAAAGTCTAGGAGCTTGTTGGTCCCTGCATTGCCTTTGGCTGGCCGGGAGGCTTTCGGCAAGTCATCTTGCCTCAACATTTGCATCTATGAAATGGGGATAATTAGGAGTGTGGGGCACTTGGGCTCATTAACCATTCCCAGTGCTTGGCCATAGCTCCCCAGGGCCTGCTGCCCCAGAAGGCTGGGCTCTTCATGTCAGGTGGATGGAGACACTGACCTTGTACTCACAGGACCCCAGACTCACCTCACCAGCCCCAATGCTCCCCACTGGCAGGGACACTCCTGTCTTCTAACCCCTAGTCACCCTCAGATCTACAGAAGGATTGTCTCAGATGCACACACAACAGAAGGAGGGGTGGACTTTATTTATTTATTGTTTTCAAAAGAAGTATCTGGAGGACTCTGTGAGTGTTCCCCAGAGAGGTGTTAGAGCTAACTGCCTTTAAGGGGCCCCAGTGGCAATTCATCCAAAGTGTGTCCTCACTAAGGCACCTATTTTAGGAGCCAGTGGAGTCTTGGAGCTGAAGTTAACAGACTGTTATGGAGAGCCAGCCACGTGCCAGGCAGTGCACAGGGGGCTGTCAGTAAAGACTCTAGCAATAGCCCTTAGGAGGTGCCAAGCACGTAATCATCACATGTGACTCACAGGACTCTGGGAGTTAGGTTCTGTTATCAGCCCCATTTTATAGATAGGGAAAGGGACGCTCATAGAGTTTAGGTGTTCAAGGTGACATGAAGATTTGACCAGGCAGTCTGATTCCAGAGCCCAGAGACGCAGCCATGGTGCTATGTCTCCCTCCAACAAGGAACATGACAGAAACCAGACCTCCCAGCCCCACTAAGGGAAATGTGCGCCAGGAACAGACGCTCATCAACATGGCCGACTGCAAACAGAAAAGGAGCAATTAATTGCAACTAGAAAGATCCAGGAATTGAGGAAATTATGGCAAAGAAAGAGGGCTAAGAGTGGACAGCAGGTGTCCCCAGGTGGGCTCCACCCGCTTCTCACCCAGCCGGCCCTTTGACCCTCTTTCTGCCACCCTTGTGGCCTGTCACTGCTTTTGCATCTGTAGAGCGTGACTAGCTAAGCTGGCAACAAGGGGAGCCTCTGTTGACTCTGGTGGATCTCTAAAGGGTGGGGGACCCGCATTTTGAACACCCACCTCCTGCTAACCCTCCCGCATAACCAGTCAGGCTGGTTGTGACGTATTATTAGAAAGCCCACATACCCTCCCTCAGAACAACAGAGCCACTTGTGGCCTGAGGAGTGTTTCACACCCGTGGAACCACCGAGGAATGGAGGAGTGGGGGCCGGAGGAGCAGGGGTGGGTAGGGAGGCGCAGCGTGGCACTGTGGGGGAGGGAGCTTGGGGGGTCAGAGGCAGGGAGAGTGGATTTCAGTGCTGCTCTGCCTCTTACACTCTGTGTGGCCGTGACCACGTGACTTAGCTTCTCTGAGGTGGTAATGAACCCTCACAGGCGGTGGTGAGGATTACAGGAGGCTACTGTATGGCCCCAGCCCGGGGCCAGGAGATAAAATGTGCTGGCAAAACGGAGCTTCCTCTGATGTGGGTGCCTTTTGGGGCATTCTCGCAGGGCAGAAAAGTCCGAATGGAAGCCCCCCCTTCCCCGCCCCACTACCACCGGATGCTTTTCCAGGGAGCAGAGTGTCCTTGTGGGGCACAGGAAGGGGTCTGCTACCCAAAAGCCCTGCTAACCATGCCGAGTCCCCCACCCCCTGGCAGGAATGGCCATTCCAGGTGCCCACAAATGCGACAGCTGACTGTTTAAAGGAAGAGAACTCTTGGCTGCCTCTGGGAAGTAACATTCTCCCTGTCTCTTCACAAACGTTTCCATATTAATCTGATTTCCTCTCCTTTATCCCCTTTTCCCCTTTCACTGCAAAAGACACAAAAACCCCTAGAATGGACAAGCACCAGTTATCCTAAACACTGTTGGGAGTTGTGAGGACATTGAATCACCAAGCATTCTGGGGAAAACCCTTTCTTCACTTCCCATTTCTTTCCTTCCGGAAAGGTGACTGAAGTCCTGCGGGAAAAAGAGGCAGCTCGAGGCAGCTAAGCAAGAGGAGGAATCGGTACGGAGGAGACCTTCCTCTTCATCTCCGGGAGTCAGGCTGGTCCGGTAGCCTCCTCCCCCTTCCTCCAATCCCCCCCCCCCCAGCGTTTGGCTCCCCATCCTCCAGGCTGCCATCACTTGCACAATAGCGTTTCACACAGCCCGCTTGCCCCTCTTCTCCGGTTGCTTCTTCATATGTCCCTCCCCAGCCCCCAGGATGGGCTGGCTCTGGCTGGTTACAAAGGTCTGTTTCCTCAGCAGCAGGGGTCTCCTCTCCAAGGAGCCCCCATGAAGACTAGGGACCCCATCCTGGAACTGGGGTTGAAGGGGGATGTTGGTGTGAATTACTCAGCAGTACCGACACATGCCACCCACAGAGAAGAACCGAAGCATGCTCACCTCCCTCATCCTGGGGTCTATAGAGAGGGTCCCCCCATCCCGCCCATCAGCAGTCATCTGATCCCTTCCTTCCCACGCCAAACAGCCCCCTGTGCTCTGCTCGGTGGCCCCACAAAAGCCTTGATGTCTCAGTGGAGCTCCCAGCCTGGCACACATGCTCCTCGGTCCAGAGCTGCCCCAGCAGGTGCCAGCCCTTCATGGCAGAAAGCCAACCTCACCCTGACCAGGTGCCCCACATAGCTAGGGTGTGAAATTAAGTCAAGTTCAGTTAGGCTCTTGTCTGGCCAGGCTCCCATTAGCCCAATGCTGGATCAGATAAGGGTACATACAGGTTGGGACCTTTGGGACAGCCCAGAGGTCCTCCGCATCCCCCAAAGACTCCCCCCTGCTCCCTTCACCTGTAAGGACAGAAAAGTGCACACTACCTCCAGAAGATGACCTGCCCCAGGGACGCCATGGTGAGGGGCAGCGTCCCTTCCCACAGCGGGCTGGGTGCTGGGGTGCGGAGCTGTGACTGCCCTCCAGGTGCCGTGACTCACGGCCAGCCTGGCTGTGCTGGGCTTAAATAGCGTTCTGAGGCTGGGAGTGGTGCGTGCAGCGGTGGAAGGCTCAGGTATGAGGAAACAGCCCTGCTGTGCAGAGGTCCCCGCCAGCCAGGGGGGCCAGGCATGCACAGCTGCCTTTCCAAGCCTTGACCTGGGGAGAGGGTAAGACAGAAAAGCTTTGCAGGCCCCCTGCTTCAGGGCTGGCATTCAGCACACGTCTGCAAGGGAGCGCTGGGGGTGAAGATTTAATCTCCAGATCAGAGAGGCCTGGGACAGCTCAAAGTGTCTGGCTGTGCCAGCAGGCTGGGAGGCTGGGAGTCCCCATGCCTTCTGGCTGCTGATGCTCAGACAGAGGCTGGCCTACACCAGCGGGGTCTCTGGTGGGGAAGATTCATGCTGAGGGACCGCAGGAAGGTTGTGAGACGATTAAGAGTGCTGAGTCATCATTCAGCGCTGAGCTCGCCGCAGGCACTGAGACAGCCGGGCACCTCTCTCCGGGCTGCGCCTCAGTGCAAGTGGCAGTGGGCCTGCCCTGCCCACCCCACGAGTATTTTGAGATTCCGAAAAGACACTGAATGCGCATTGCATAGAAGTTCTTGCTTCGATGTAATAAGAAGTGCGCTCGAAAAGCTGATCTCTGACATTGCATCCAGCACTCCGATTTTCAGCGAGCCGGGACACAAAGCCCAAGGTGGAAAGCGAGCTCTTTGCGTTGTTTCCTCCGTTCCCTCCACACCCCGGCGAGCACCCTGGATAGTAAACTGCCCTGACTGGCTGCCTGGTTCACAGGCTGCAGCCTGACAGACTGTTTATTTCAGGGTCAAGTTGCCCAGGACTTACGTAGGATGACTCCAGTGTCTGCACATGAGCGGCTGGAGTTAGCTTGGGGTACAGCTGGGAGA